AAAACCAGCTATAAAACACAAACAGGTCACACCACCGTCTTTGGCTGTTAAAAAACATTTAAATCTGCTACCTTAAAGTTTGTTGTTGATGATGTTCCCCGATAAAGCTCCGTGTTTAAGGTGAGACGCCAGTCGAAGTAAAGCAACACCTGAAGAAATGTTCCCAGCTAGAGGAAGTAAAGGAGGTCCTGGGTGGTTCAGAGGGAATCTTCACAACCAAAACTCCAACACCTGCCCTCCTGGAGTCCTCCTGGTCAGACTTACTCCTCTGCTGTGGGACTGAGGGCCTCCCTCTCACCCCTGACCTCCTGGGGCTCCTCCCCCACGACTGGTGTCTTCTAAAGTTTTTGTATCCAAATGTTTACCATTAATCAAAATAACAACAACAAAAATGTGTGGATAATGGTTGAAATCAGAAAACCAATGACACAGGAAGCTGTAAAATGGGCGCATCCTACCAAAATAAAAGCTGGACAAAGAGATTATGTGAGTGTTCAACCGTGGATCTTTTTGGGGTTGTCCTGCACTCTGATCCATGATCTAAACCCACTCATCAGTCTGACCATCTACAGGCCTCTGAGACCTTATCAAACTCCGCCCAAACACACACCTACAAAACACAGGTGGCTAAAAGGTTAATGAGATATTTACTTACGCTTCATTCAGAATACCACACTCCTCCCAGCAAACATGGTCAAGACGACAGCGAGCTGTCCACGGCCAGAAATGGTCGCAGTCGGACGTCTCAAATGTGTTAAACGTGTAACAGAAAACTCTAAAAATCCATTCAAATATATGTTTACATGTCAACAGTTACATGTATAACTGATATGCTGACGATGAGTCACGTGTACAGCATCCAGCAAATATTGGTCCATCATGTTTTGAGATCGTTATGATTTTATGACTGTTTTGTTCTGCGTGAAGCCCTTTGTGATTCTATGTGTGTGATACGTGCTTTAGAAATAACATTTACTCACTTTCTCTGCACACACTGACGCTAGCAAAACAGTGGAAATCGGACTAAAAATGCAATTATTCTGTCAAACAAGGAGGAGTTCCCTGCACCTGCTTCACCAGAGGGATGACGCTGCACCATTAGACACTCATACAGTACATCACAGGGATGAGCCGGAGACTTGCTCCAGACGAGTGTCCGGTACGGATAAAGCATTTTTGGCGAGTCCGAGCGTGGAACGAGTAAAACCCGTGAATTTCTGTGTTCATGCTGAAGTAAAATCCTCAATGTGTAAGAACGTGTTCACAGATGAGTGACCTGTAAGGAGAAAAATATGAATCATTTTTGATTTTAATGTTGATTTTATTTCATTTCTAAGGTTTGGAAGTCTGTGAATATTACCGAATGTTCTGATTGGTGTAAAGAACGTGTGATAATAATATTAATAACAGGTCATGATCCAGAGTGGGTCGGTCTGAGGTGTGAAACTGTCCTGGGCCTAAAGCCCCGCAGCTAGATTTTATTTCTATACGCAACAAATAAATAACAGCAGCTAAATCACGACAATATTCATGTTCTGAGTTTTTAAAAAAGGAAATATTTTAATCGAAGTTTATCAATCCGTTTTTTCCATCGCACCACATGAATTATGGTCCGGCCCTAGGCTGACTGGTGCATATCGTGTGAAAACCACTGAGTGGTACGATCACCAGTCTGTGCACGTTGTGTTACAACTGTTGAAAATGTGAAATCTGCAACATTTAAGTTTAAACTTTTACTTTTACAGTTGAGTCTAAATATTCAGGTTTGACAAACTTTTCCAAATCTATTCACAGATGTTTCGTTTTACATTTAATGCTAAGTGATATAAAAGTTCAGAAGCTGTGTGTGTGTGTGTGTGTGTGTGTGTGCAGGTTGTGTTTTCAGTGAGCCTCCTGTGTGTGAAGCCTAAGTAACACTTTGATGTTAGAGATTCAGAGAACAAATATTAGTTCATAAATCAGCTGCAGAAGCTTTTCATACACCAGGAACAACACTCAGACGCAGCAAATCAAATCATCACAGCATCACTCAACAACCAATCCCTGCAGCTTCTCCTTCCACCTAAAGCATGAGGCACGCAGCCTCTGACCTTCGCTGAAGCCTCACCGACACCGCTTCATCCAACCTCTGAACAGCAGCAGACTCAGGCTGGTGGGACAACTGCAGCTGGCGGTGCAGAAGACCGGGGTAGGTGGTGACCGCCAGCTGCTGCCCACATGGCGGCCCTGTGTCGCCACCTAGTGCACCAGTGAGAATCTGAAGCAGCTCAGATTCACTTCCCTTTAGCCTGAAAATCTAAATTTGAATATCACATGCACAATTCTGTCTTCATCTCTTTAATAAGAGCAGAACAGTTCTGCATCCAGGGTGATAAAAACGTGGCTTTAACGTTCATCCAGATCTTTACGTGAGAGCCCGAGAAACATCAGGAAAGTTCACTTTTATTTAAAACATGTCAGCAGCAGGTACTTGTGTCACGTTGTAACAATCTGAAATTGTCATGACAATATGGAGCTAAGCACTCCACTGCTCCTCTCACTTTTTTTTCTTCTTGATTATAAATCTGCTGCACCTGTGTGCAGCTGGCTGCCGCACCCTAAACAGGAAAACAACAGAAAGTGCCTTCAAGCTCCACAGACTTTCTCTCCACCTGTGAACAGAGTGACGTGAACACAGGCGCACAGTGATTTCTACTGAGTAAACAGGCTGTTTTTTAATCAAAGAGGCCGTTAATCCCTCAAGGATTGAGACAGATCTGGAAGAGACCCTGGACGCACCATATTCATCGCTACTTGACCACTGATGTAAGTTCCTACTGACCGTAGCGAGAAAAGGAAAATGAAGCCAAAACTCATCTGAAAATTCTTTTAAAGGGGGATCGCTTAATCGGATTGCCCATTGAAGAGATCCTTACGTCAAGCAAACGATCGACTAAAACGTGAGTTAAAAAGAAAACTAAACTCAGAATTTGGGTTTGCTCAATGGCAGGATGAAAATGGAATCGATTATTAAAAGAAAATTATTTCCTTTGTAGTGAGAACGTGTGTTTCAAACTTCTCATCACTCTCATTTGTTAAACGACCCCTGTCAAGTAAGTTTATTTGAAAATTTTGTGTATATATGTAAATAGTAGAAAATGATATTATAAGTGTAATTTCTTTGTTTGTTTATAGCTTTTCCAACACAAGGGTAAAATTCTGCACTCACCTGCAAGCACCTCTCCTCCATAATGGACAATTCAGCTAAATAAACCGCATCTGTGAAATTGCTCAAACCTGATTTTCCTCTGGACTATTACCTCCATTCATTTCATTTTTTTGGTCAGACAACTTAATGTAAGGGTGTATGTCTAGTAACATATTTCCTTGTGTAACGGGAGATTTTATGTTCATTCACCATTGCAACTTGTACGCCTGTTTTTTGTTTTGTTATTTTATCCCATGTGTCAGGAGGGAGACCTGACTGGCGCCCAACGTCCATATTCATCTATTTAGTCAGTCAATAAAGCAAAAACTGAAAACCGTTACAACGTTGAACGAGGTGGAGACGGCGGACCACGTGTGGATGAGCTGACCAGGAGGTAAAAATGCAGGCTTCGGATAAAGTAAAAATGGTTTTAATGGCAGGATGGGATGAACAGGACAAACAACGATGACTTGAACAACAACAATGATCTGACAAGGGACAGGAGCAAAACAGGTGGTATAAATACAGAAGGCTAATTAGGGAAACGTGGGCAACACCTGAAATGACTCAATGTCAAAAGTTACGGTTATTGGTTGGAATCTGTTCCGGACTCACAAACACAAGTTTTCTTTGTTATCACAAAAGTCACGTAGAAAGTGCTGGAAATGGTCATTTTGGTTGAAGACAAGGTTACCGAGAAACAGTTTCTGTACGTGTTATTGCTAAAATAGGATCAGTTACTCTGAGTTTAACATACAAGCTAAATGTGAAAATAGTCTCCTACACCCATTTCCTGCTTTAGCCGCTGATAGGAAAAACAGCTGCTGTCATGAAACAGAAAAACATGATGAAGTTGATTTATTTCAGAAAGGGAAAGTTGTGTATTTGATTCATTCATTCATTCATTACACACAGACTGATATATTTCAAATGTTTATTTCTTTTAATGTTGTTGGATCTGCGTCGTTGATGACCGACACTTAAAGAAAAACTCAGAATGTCAGATCTCTGGTGTAATCCCACTGCGTGTGTCGTCTGATTGCATTACAGGTGCTTTTTTTTTTCAACACAGGAGCGGTTGCTCTACCTTTTTAGCTGCAGGAGGATGATTAGGGAAGGCCAGTGTGAACAGCAGAGTTTTGAGCAGTGAGACGGAGATCCTGATGTTCTAAGGAAGGGAATTCCAGAGGGTTGGAGCGGCGGCGGCGACGAAGGCTCGATCCCCCAGGGTGCAGTGTTTTGTTCCGAAGGGAGAAAGAAGATTGGAGTCAGAAGAACGGTGTGGAAAGTTGGTAAGAGGAAGTGGGACAAGGTTATTAAGAGATTTGTAGGTGAGGAGTAGTTTGTAATGAATCCAGTGTTGAACTGGGAGCCAGTGAAGGTGTTTAAGGACGGGGTACGGTCGCTGGAGCAGGTGTGGGTGAGCAAACGAGCAGCTGAGCTTCAGATGTACTGCAGTTTCTGTTAGGGAGTGTAAGGGAGTCCGTAGAGGATGCTACTGCAGTTGTCAATTCTGCAGGTTGTGAACGCATGGATGGGTATTTGAGCCATGGAGTGAGAAAGGGATGTATGGAGAACATGCTAGAAACCTTAATTGTACATTATAATACATATATTGGCTTCAAGTACCTCCATATGATTATTTTATCTGCAAATACAAAACGCAATCCTACAAAATGGTAGAGGTACACACACATTATAAAACACACCTTGTCATTTAACCTTCAGAAACAAGGTTTCATTACAGCGTTTCTACATGCAAACACGTTCGTTCACGTCTTATTAGCACCAAGTCTTGTCATGGTCGGTGGTATATGCCTAACCCACGACATACAGAATCAATCCACAAGTCAGAATTAGAGTTAAATAATGATTTATTATAAAGGAGAAATGGCAGGAACAAAATGTCAGGCTGGACTGCTGGGATCCGGTGGGGGGAGTCTGAAGGACGAAAAAATGTCAGGACTGGTTGCAGAAAAATGGGAATAATGGATCAGTTAAGACTTACGGTCTGAAGGTTCAGTTAGAATGTTCGGGAGAGGTTGGTTGTCTGGTCTGGGGGTGAAGCAGATGGCTTACTGAGTTAGAGGAAGCTGAGAGTCCAGGCGAGGAGGGAGCTGAGCAATTATTGAGCAGGAGATCCAGGAGGAAGGTGGGGAGCCGGCGTGGGGGAGACCATGGGAGGACGCTGAGAGGCGAATGGCAGGTTGACCAGGTAGTTATTGTAACAGGATGTCTGGGTGAAAAGGTAGGAAGACAAGTGGTCAAAAATCAGGAAGAGCTCAAAATCCAGATAAAAGTCAAATCACTAGGAGATACAAGTTGTTCGGCTGTTAGTTGAGTACCCAAGTAGAGTTAATCATCCAGCAAAGTGAAGCCGCCTCTCAGGTGCTTAAATATCCCCTGGCAGGTGATGAGTGGATTGCTTGCAGCTGCTAGCAACTTCCCCACAACCGGACACGCCCACCTGCAGAGGAAAGGAAGCTCAAAAAGTAAATCAGAGAAAGATGACTCCCCCAGACCGTGACAAGTCTCAGTTCAAACGTTTAACTTTTATAGACATACCCGCAGAGCCGGATTAACGCAAAGGCAAAGTAGGCACGTGCCTAGGGCCTGATTGGCTGGATGGGGCCCAGACAGAGGGACAAAATTAAAAATAAATAAATTAAAAATTAAATGTACAAATGTCCTATGATAGAATTTGTAGATAAGACTCCTATCTACAATTTATTTCAATATTAATTAATTAATTAAAAATAGTGACAATGTTTATCTTAACCATAGACCGTTTCATTGGCTACGTCACATTAAGGCGCCACCCAATGAAGGACGTCAGACAAGCGGTCAGAGTCAGAGCGGGACACAACAACGCTAGCAGGTGTTTCTGAGTGGGCTAACTTTCACAATGCTTTCGGGTGCGGCAAAACGTAAAAAAAAATGAAGAGGAACTAAAGAAGAGACAGCGGGGGGCTTTTCAAACGTTTCTGTCGGGCTGCTCGGTCAGCCGTCCGACAGCTGTGAACATGCTCGAGTCAGCAGAGCCAGAGGCCGGGCCCAAGTCAGACCCGGAGGAGACACGACCCGAAGACGCAGTGGAAGATGCGGCGGAAGACGCTGTAGCGCCAACGGCGTCAACATCAACGCCTTCTCAGCAGGACAAACTGGAAGAACAGCAGCCAGCCAGAAGTGAGCCCAATATAGTCTTACAGGAGCCTCTAGACCCAGACAGGGTATTAACAACTAGCTACCCATCTGATCCTGCAGTGGTACCAAACTGATGACAGGATGCGTGAGTACTTTGCACTAAACCATCCCTCTCAAAATATTGGATATTCCTCTGCATCACAGAGGAAATCTGGAGACATAAACCGAAGCTTAACCAAGGAACAGTTATTTAGACGTGTTTCTGCTGCGACTGAGGCCCTGTGATGCTGGAAGGCTGAAGATTATCCCAGAGCGGAGCATGCTAAATGGTTTCCTTGGTAAGTGTTGCTGCTTTTATTAATTACTTTAAAAATAATTTTATTAATGTTCAAATAGCAAAACAATAACTTCACACTCAGAAAATTCACACAGAATTTCTGATTCAGCAGAGGCAAAAGCAGCCTGAATGAGCATAAAGCAAGATCAAAACTTAAGATAACGTTTTCATTTTATTAAAATACTTTCTTTTAAGATTATAGATTGTATTAAATTTATACTGTAATAATTTAGGCTGCGTGTTTATAGTTTGTTTTTGCACCTTTAAAACATGCTTCAGTCCATTCAAATTAATCTATTTACTCTTGAATGTCTTTCCACCATGTGATTAATTTGTCAACATTTATAAATGTTGTAAGTTATTGTATTTAGCAGACAATCTTTTTAAGTAAATATAAACAGAGCAAAGACACATATTTGCTCTGTTTACATAGTTTATTGACACCTAGTGGTTATTTACTGGTACCGCCTTGACAATGACACTCCCAATCGATAAGATGAGGATAATTTATTAGCATTTAATACAGCTGTGTAATGACGTATAAATTATTAATATCAAAAAATTGTCTGATAGAATGTTTTACATGCAACACATGACTTATTTTGGCATACAAACAACCATTTTGTAACCTAAAACTAGGCTATGTAAAATGTGAATGAACTTTTATTAGTAACTTTGGTAAGTTTCAGATTTCAGTTCATTAAATAACATCGATGGGGGGGGGGGGGGGGGGGCTAAAAATGCAGCCTGCCTAGTGTAGTCCATTTATTTAATCCGGCTCTGCATACCCGTGGACAGACAGGGAAACGCGTTGTCAGAGCATAGCTCGTTTAATTCTGAGGTGTGCCTGCTCAGAAGCCCTCTTGTGCCCAAAGTGGTTCTACAGCACCCTCTGCTGGTGTGAATGAGCACAGCAACCTTAACTTTATATAATACACAAGTGTTATAGTACAGAAAACAGAGGGGGTGTCTGTTTTCATACAAACTTATTATATAGCATTTAACAACCTACTACATATGCCAAACCTGGGTTTCAGCTGACACGTTCCTTGTGTCAGGCCACTCTTGAACAAGAGACAGCGTCTGAAGCGTCTCGCCTGGCCTAAAGACAACAAGGGCTGGGCTGCTGCTGAGTGGTCCAAAGTTAGGATCTCTGATGAAAGTAAATTTTGCATTTTCTTTGGAAATCAATATCCCAGAGTCTGGAGGAAGAGAGGAGAGGCACCAGTCTAAAGTTTCCACAGTCAGTGATGGTTTGGGGTGCCTGCCATCTGCTGGTGTTGGTTCGTGGTGTTTTCTGAGGTCCAAGGTCAACACAGCCATCTACCAGGATGCTTTATAAGCTCTTTTCCTTCGCCTGGTCTGGAACGGTCGGGTCTGGGTATTATGGACCGGTATGTTCTGGTATGGGTCTAGAAGTTTTCTGGCAAGCGTTTCTATCGCATTCCAGGCTCCAGTTGCCAGGCGGGGTAGCGTAATGCGTCACGCGCGATGTGTGCCTTAATGTCACACAACACGACGAGAACGCGCCAAAACACAACAATGGAGTCCAGTCAGCAGCGCGTTCTTTCTGTTCTTGGTGTTTGGTATATTCTTTACACCCACATCACGATAGCGGTTAGAGCTATGCTGTGTGCATCGAGGAGGAGGGCAGCCGAAAGACGATGACGCTTTCTGAAATTAATATCGGACACGAGGCATAACTTTCTACTGACGGAGGCGCCAGGTGGTAAGTCACTTCTAATGCTGTAATACATGTTGTTATAATCTCTGAGAGGGGGGGGGGGGGTCTAGGCAACTATCAAAAAAGAAAAACTAAAAAAGCACCAAAATCAAATGGTTTGGTTGTGTATTGATTGTTTTTTAAGACATGCTAAACATGAAAGGCCAACACATGGTGATGCTAGTCAACACGAGGGCCTGAATCCTTCACTCTTTACTTCCTGGGCATGTCATAGATAAGTTGGGCAGCTATATTTAAATTATTATAATTAATTATTTAGGTTATTACAAGCAATAGCACTGTAGCGTCATGACTGCTTGTGATCAAAAACATAGCCGGTCACTGGTAGCTCCATAAGGAACAGCTGTTATTTTAACCCTAAACAAATTCTTTTGATGTGAACTTTGTGTCTATAACCATACTGCTTCAATCTTTTTCACTGCACTATTCTTTTTACTTTTACTGTGTTATGACTGTTTTAATTTGTTTTTTTATTTGGCTCTTTTGAATCAGCGACGGCAGCCAACTGTGTGGGCCTTCAGCCGTGCCAGCGCCTTCTGGGATGTGACCATGCCAAACTTCACTCCGTCAGATTGGATAGCTCCTTTCAGAAGGTCAGAAGAGACCTTTTCATATCTTTGTTCCAAGCTCCGTCCAGCCATGCAGAAGAGGAACACCAACTTCAGAGCCTGCGTGCCACTCAGGAAAAGAGTTGCAGTTGCACCGTGGAAGCTTGCAACTAACAGTGAATACAGGAGCATCGGGCTTCCTGTTGGTGTCAGCACGACCTCTGTGTGCCGCTGTGTGCAGGACTTCTGTAAGGCTGTCTGTAAAGTCTTGCTTGCCGAGGTTATTGCTTTTCCAACTCTGCAAAAGCTACAGGAAATGGCTGACTATTTTGAGACCCGGTGGGGGGTTCCTCGGTGTGTGGGTGCCATCGATGGTTCCCATATCCCAATAATCGCACCACAGGGATTCCACACAGACTACTTCAATAGGAAAGGTTGGCATTCCATAATCCTCCAGGGCATTGTGGATGGCAGAGGCATGTTCTGGAATGTTAATGCAGGTCAGCCAGGTAGCTTACATGATGCCCGTGTGCTGCGATTGTCCACATTTTGGGACTTGGTTGCTCATGGACAACTGCACCCAACTAGTACCAAGAACACTGAGGGAGTAAATGTAGGCTTTTATGTGCTCGGGGACTCTGCCTATCCTCTGCAGGACTGGCTCCTAAAACCATTTTCAGACAACGGTCGTCTCACTGCTGAGCAACAGACGTACAACAGGAAAACGTCCAGAGCCAGAGTTGTGGTCGAAAATGCATTTGGGAGGCTAAAGGGTAGGTGGCGATGTCTTCTGAAGAGAAACGACAGTGATGCAGAGCTTCTTAAACACATGGACCTGTTGTGTGCTTCACAACATCTGTGAGAGCCATGGGGAGGAGTATGAATGTGACGCACCTGCTGATGAACCAGTGGTTGCAAACATGCAGGAAGTTGCAGAGGAGGGCAGTGATGTGCGTGAAGCTCTGAGGCGACACTTCACCCGCTGACCTCAGTTTGTGTTTTTTCTTTCCATTTACTTTGTTTATTGTTTTGACACTTTT